GAGGTACCCATTCTCCTCGAAGAAGCTCTTCTGTTCTTGCGAGACCAATGTGTTTGTGCATCTTTCGAGTTGGCGAGAAAGAGGTTTCAGGACGAGAAACGTGTCGAGCAGCAGGTGCGGGGTGGGGTCGCCCGCGTGGAGGAAGCAACGGCGAGCCCGCACGCTTGTGATTGGGTGAGAGTCGTGGAGCTTCCGGTAGGGACGTAAATAGAGACACGTGATCTATTCAGCACCATTTCGAAGTGAAGATGGACCTTGGATTTGATTTGAGTATGTGGTCTGCTCCGTCAACAAAAGCACTACCGACGGAGTTCGCGGACCTGTGCTTTGGGTCACGTGCTGGCAATGTGTCGGCAGTCTCTCGACGTGCTCCGACATCCCCCGGATGGGTTTGATCAGCAGAAAACAGCAAAATTGTACCAATGTGCCGTGACCTGCTGTGCTTGGTTGTGGGCCGCAGACAAATCATTGTTCTTGCGTTAAGAACTTCGGCACCGGTCAAGCAACAGCAGAAGATGAGGGAACTTGCGGCCAAATGAACAACAGCGGTGACAAACGGACAAGAAAACGGAACGGATTTTTTTTTTTTTTTTTTTTTTCGTATCTAACATCTCGATTACAGAAGACGGAATTTTTTTTTTTTGTATCTACGACTCTTATTGCAGGAGCTACCGACTACAGCAAGAGAAGAAGGAGATAAAGGAAGAAATGCTTTACGCACACCAATAGAGTGATTGGTAGTGTGGACTCAGCTTAGCGTTACCCACTAAAACTCCCGGAAGGTTTGATAAGGTCTTGGAATACGGAATTTGGAAAAAAAACGCGCCACCCCGCTGTGGGGTGACACTTTAAAAACCGGAGCCCAAACTTGGAGGACCGGTTGGTGTAGTGGTATCACGTTTGTCTCACAGCGCCTGGCGCTCACAAAAAGGTCGCCGGTTCGAACCCGGCATCGGTTCAGTTTTTTTGCTTTTGCAGTGGGCTCTGTAAGGCATTGTCTGTGCCGACATTGCTGCCGAAGACGTCTTTTTTGCTTTCTTCAGCTGTGTCATTATACTCCATGTTTGATTCTCTTTCCTTCGCGTACATTATGGGCAACTCACCTCGAGCTGCCACCCCCTGCTGACCAGCAATGTAGGTTGTGCGGCAGGGCCCTCCACCGCAACTACAGAAGTCTCCACCTTAAGTTTTACAGAGAGACGGCAGGCTTTTACTGATCCCCACCTCCGTCCGTCAGCGCGTTTTTTGGTGCCACAACGTGTTTTGATGGAAAGAGAGGCAAAAACTAAAGAACGGGCTGGAAATCGCAAGGAAGAGGCTTGAGCAGGCAGACGAGGGGTCAGCTAGGAGGAAGGAGCAAAGTAAAGGGACAATGGAAACAATCGTGATTGATTAGGGGAGGAACGGGAGGAAGTGGAGGCGAGGGGTTGTTGGACGGATTCACTCAAGTCACGTAGAACCGCTTATAGCTGGCATTGTCAGCCGGACTGAACAGTGCATGGTCAACTTCACGTTGCGACAAGCATGGAAGCAACTGGAAGAGAACTTGAGCCTCGCAGATGCGGTTGCGGGCCACGTGGATCCGTCTTGAGCCGTCAGGACGAGGCTGGTTTGGCAAGCCTTACTTCAAGTAAATGGGCACAAGCGGGAGTTCAAAACATGACCTTGTGGGTGCCGGGCTTTGATGCAGTTATAAGAGCTGGCCACTTTGCTCTGAAGCAATGTTGTGGTACACATGTTTCTCGTCCAGCGAAGGTGGCCAAGCGGGCGGTAGGTTGGTAGATAGAGTGACTTGTTTGTGCATCCGTACTGGTTATTTAGCCCTCTTGTCTTGAAAGATACTGTGAGAGAGATTTCACGCAAGAGAACTTCTGGCAGCCACGTCGCCTTGGCGCGCTTTGTCGTCGCCCGCTCAGCGCGCACAGGGCGCCCTCTCACTCCTCTCATCTCGCCCTTTTTTTTCCCTGTTCTTTGTTTACATTTCTCGCCTATCTTTGTCTATGGAGGTTCTAGTACTCCAATACCATCACCAGCAGCACCGTCATCACTCCTCCCGCTCCACCCGACCCTCCTCTCGCTTCCGCCTCCCGCGTCGGCCTCGCCCTCTCGTTCACGCCCGAGGTCGCTCGTAGTGGGACATCGTCGTGCCTACCTATATTATTTGCTTGATCTTCAATTTCTTCCTTCGAAGCCCGACACCGCCGGCGCTCTCCCCTGGAAGATGGTTCGCGCCACCGCCGACCTCATCACTCATGGTCCTGGCCGTGCTATTTGCTCCATCGGTAACAAGACAACCAGAATGTACCACGCGAGTGTCGAGGGCCCTCCACATCCTCTTCTCTCCGGTCTCACCGCCGTCTGGGTTATCAACCACCCGACCGGAGCGTGGACACTCGACGCGCACACGTTCGGTGCCCTCTGGCGATTCATTTGGGTGCTCTCACTGCCCAACTGTCTCTTTGCCTGGTTCGGATTCATCACCCACGACACGGTTCAAAGAGATGGACAAGCAGCCCATTCGCTGCGAGTACATCTGCAACTTCTTCATCGTCCCTCGTTACCGAGGGATCAAACAAGTCGGCCGTCCGCCGTGGTCACAACAAGTTGCTCAAGCCCAAGAAGTACCACCCCGCCGTCAAGGACGTCGTCCTCACCAAAGAGCCCTACATCTACCCCAATCTCCAGAACATCGTCTGCCCGGAGTCCTACAAGTCTCCTCTCGTGTGTCGTTCGCTTGCTTCCCTGAGAGTTTTCCAAGACTGACGTGTTGTGGTATGCGTTCCCAGGGAAGGCCGAGTACAAGGCTCGAGCTCTCGACTACTTCCGTTACCACGTCTCGCTCGGTATCTATGACTGGATCTTGCACATGTTTGTCGTTCAGTCAACCTTCCAAAGACGCTCACTTTACTCACGCCTTCCTTCTCCAGGGACAAGGAGTCCGTCACTGACGCCGAGTCCTTCTGCCACTGCATCGAGTTCTAGTACTCCACTACCATCACCAGCAGCACCGTCATCACTCCTCCCGCTCCACCCGACCCTCCTCTCGCTTCCGCCTCCCGCTCGGCCTCGCCCTCTCGTTCAACGCCCGAGGTCGCTCGTAGTGGGACATCGTCGTGCCTACCTATATTATTGCTTGATCTTCAATTTCTTCCTTCCGAAGCCCGACACCGCCGGCGCTCTCCCCTGGAAGATGGTTCGCGCCACCGCCGACCTCATCACTCATGGTCCTGGCCGTGCTATTTGCTCCATCGGTAACAAGACAACCAGAATGTACCACGCGAGTGTCGAGGGCCTCCACATCCTCTTCTCTCCGGTCTCACCGCCGTCTGGGTTATCAACCACCCGACCGGAGCGTGGACACTCGACGCGCACACGTTCGGTGCCCTCTGGCGATTCATTTGGGTGCTCTCACTGCCCAACTGTCTCTTTGCCTGGTTTGGATTCATCACCCACGACACGGTTCAAAGAGATGGACAAGCAGCCCATTCGCTGCGAGTACATCTGCAACTTCTTCATCGTCCTCGTTACCGAGGGATCAAACAAGTCGGCCGTCCGCCGTGGTCACAACAAGTTGCTCAAGCCCAAGAAGTACCACCCCGCCGTCAAGGACGTCGTCCTCACCAAAGAGCCCTACATCTACCCCAATCTCCAGAACATCGTCTGCCCGGAGTCCTACAAGTCTCCTCTCGGTGTGTCGTTCGCTTGCTTCCCTGAGAGTTTTCCAAGACTGACGTGTTGTGGTATGCGTTCCCAGGGAAGGCCGAGTACAAGGCTCGAGCTCTCGACTACTTCCGTTACCACATCTCGCTCGGTATCTATGACTGGATCTTGCACATGTTTGTCGTTCAGTCAACCTTCCAAAGACGCTCACTTTACTCACGCCTTCCTTCTCCAGGGACAAGGAGTCCGTCACTGACGCCGAGTCCTTCTGCCACTGCATCGAGTTCATCCGTTACACGCCTCACCACTTCGGCCAGGGTATCATCCTGCACACCGGAGAAGGCTATCGGGAGAACTGGTACTTCACTGGTTGCCAATGGTATCCGTGTTGGAGACGATCTTGCGCGTTTCCACTTTGTGACGACTCGAAGGATTCGCCACCGGATACAAGGTGACGGAAAGCGGGAACAAAGGGGAGCCTACTTCGGAAACCCAATTCGCGCCGTCCTTGTCGCACAGCAACACCCACGCTCAGTCCACCAGCTCCACCCAACACTCCCCTCAGCTCCTTATCGCCCATATCCAACTCTCCGACCCATTTCCGGAACGACCTCCCCCACTTCCGCTCCCAGTCAGTCGGATCCGAAGCAACGAGCGACAGCGAGACGAAATCCGCGCTCAGGAAAAAGTCTGGACGAGTCTCCGAGGTATGGACCTATGCCGCTCAGCCCGGATTCCGGAACAGCACTTCGGAAATTGCTTCTTTGACTTCGGAAGAGGATTTCACGACTTCGGAGGGTTCGGAAATAGAGAAGAGGAAAGAGTATAAATAGGCACTCTTGTGTAGCTCTCTCTCTTGTTTCCTCATCTTGATATTCTAAGGGCAGACTCGACATTCCATTCTCACTTCGAGAGGTTTGCAACCCTTGAGACTTCGGAGACCACATCGCCTTACCCGAGGTCCTACCTACCCTCCCGCCTTATTCGGATTTCGACTCCAACCCTTCCTTATCCTCAGTCAACAAGTCTCATAGGACGGGGTATTCGAGTCGTTACATTATATCAAGATCACCACTCGGGTAAGCGATCATGCCACCCAAAAGGATCCAACTCCGTTCCGCCACCGAGGCCGAAGACCACAACGATCAATTCGAGGATTCCGGAGCCCGGAACCTCGAGGAAAGAGATCACGACTCCGCCAACAGCCTCGCCGCCACGGAAATCGAGGGAAACTTGGACGACCTACAGGATCAGCCACGTCCGACCACTCCAGCCCTTTCGGAAACTCCTCAGGCCGTCGTCTCCCTCGAGTCCACCCTAGCGGCCCTCCTCTCCAAGATCGCCGACTCGTCTTCCGCCAAGGGAACCCACGTCCGTGCTCCCGACAAGTTCTCCGGCGTGGATCGCAGCAAGTACCGCATCTTCGTCGCCCAGTGCTTGCTGGTTTTCCGATCCAGCCCTCATAAGTTCGACACGGACGCCAAGAAGGTCAACTATGCCTGCTCGTACCTGGACGGGATCGCCTTCATGTGGTATGAGAACCACCTCGTTTCCGACACGGAGCCCGACTGGTTCTACGACTGGAACCTCTTCAAGTCCGTCCTCAAGGAGCACTTCGGAGAAGTCAATGCCACCCATGCGGCGGAACACAAGATCCGATCCCTCTCGATGAAGGGAAACGACACCCTCATCAACTACATCACCAAGTTCCACACCTATTCCAACGTCCTCAACTGGAACCAGGGGCTCTCACCGCCGAATTCCGCCGCGGATTATCATCTCGGATTAAGGACGACCTCGCCAAGGTGGATTACGACGACTACGACTTGGCCAAGCTCGAGCAAGCGGTCATCAAGATCGACGCCAGACTCACGGAGCGACAGGAAGAACGACACTATGAGTCCGGAAGCGCTCCCACCTCCGGACGTAACTCCTCTCGCACCTCCGCCTCGCGTTCCGACACGCGTTCCGAAACGCGCTCCGCTGCCCCCGCTCGCCAGGCCAATGTCGGCTATCGCCCCCAAGGAACTCCTTCGGCCACTCCTCTTCCTCTCGACCGCTCCTGGAAAGGTCACTTCCGAGGAGAAGAAGCGCCGCGCCGACCTGGATCTTTGCTCCTACTGCGGAGACAAGCATAAGGTCGACGCGTGCCCCAAGAGGCCCCGAACCAATCTCCGTGCTGCCAGAGCTACTTTCTCTGTACAGGGTTTTCCTTAGGGATTCTCCGAGTCTGCAATCGCAGAATCCCCTTTACCAATCCCTGCAGCCCCCTTCCATTTCCGAGAACCAGATCGTCGTCA